GGAACTAAAGGGACTACTTAGTATTTCTAACAGTTCAAGCTGTTTCCCTCTAGCTCAGAATGCCTTCCTTCTCATAGAAATCTCCATCTTTCAAAGCCAGGCTCAAGTCCTCCCTCTGTTTTTTTTTTTTTTTTTAAAGGATTTTATTTATTTACTTATTAGAGAGAGAGAGGGAGACAGAGCACAAGCAGGGGGAGCAGCAGAGGCAGAGGAAGAAGCAGACTCCCTACTAAGCAGGGAGCCTGACATGAGACTTGATCCCAGAACCCTGAGATCATGACCCTAGCCGAAGACAGACGCTTAACAGACTGGGCCACCGGGGTGCCCTCAAGTCCTGTCTCTTTGATAAACACTCTTACCATTGCAACACACTGGTCATTCCCTGAACTCCTACTGAGGTCTCTGATATTTGATTTAGTATCTGTTCTGTATTTGTTTCATATATTTGTGTCTCTTGCCTTCGTTAGATTATGAGCTTTCTAGAGGTAGGAACCATGTTTCATGGGTTTTATTTTTTTATTATACATCCCCTTTCTTCTATTAAAATATTCTATAGTCTACATTTTAGTATTCATTTCTAGAAGAAAATATAGACATTTATCTTAGGTAACCACAATACGTAAATAACATTAACAGTAATCCCTTGGTATCACCTAATATCCAGCTCATATTCAAATTTACCCAATTGCCTCAAAAATGTCTTTGAATGCTTTGTTATGAGTCAATATCCAAAGAATATCCGTATACTGCATCTGATTATGACTCTTAATTCTCTATTATTGTTAAGCACATCCTGCTTCCCATTTTGTCAATGTTCTTTAATTCATTTTTTAAAAATTTAAAATCAGTTAATTCAAAATCAACTACTATAGTGTATTATTAGTTTCAGAGGTAGAGTTTGTGATTCATCAGCTGCATATAACACCACCTAGCCATTTTTCCTATTAAGTGTACCACATTTGGGATCTGTCTTGTTTCCTCCTAGTCTTAAGAGCTATGTTTATCAGGGCTCCTGGGTGGCACCGTTGGTTAAACATCTGCCTTTGGCTGGGGTCATGATCCCCAAGTCCTGGATCGAGCCCCACGCTGGGCTCTCTGCTCCGCAAGGAGTCTGCTTTTCCCTCTCCCTCTGCCTGCTGCTCTGCCTTCTTGTGCTCTCTCCCTCTCTGTCAAATAAATACATAAATAAAATCTTAAAAAAAAAAAAAAAGAGCTATGTTTATCATCCCTTTACTCAACAAATATATATTAGGAGAAGAATACAGCCAGAACTCTATAAAATGCAGCGGCTAAAATAGTGAATACAACTATAGTCCTGGCTTAGACAGAAGAAAGCCGTAAAACAGTTGTACAAAATATTAAAAACTAGCAATTATGATATGTGCTATGATGGGAAAGTACAGAGTAGTAAGAGAAATTATAGCATGGCAACCTAACCTACTTTAAAGGTCAGGTAGAGTATTTACTTTATCTAGTTCAATGCACCTTGTACAGCGTTAAGTAAATAAACATTCAGTACTCCCAGGCTGGCTGGGAGAGTAAGTTTTCTTCAAATTATCGGCCTTGTAAACTAAAGGACATATCACCACCTCTGGAGTTACAAACATTAGATATGATTCTCTTAGGAGTCCATGTTAGGGGCGCCTGGGTGGCTCAGTGGGTTAAGCCTCTGCCTTTGGCTCAGGACATGATCTCAGGGTCCTGGGATTGAGCCCCACATAGGGCTCTCTGCTTAGCAGGGAACTTGCTTCTTCTTCTCTCTCTGCCTGCTTCTCTGCTTACTTGTGATCTCTCTGTCAAATAAATACATAAAATCTCAAAAAAAAAAAAAAAAAAAGGAGTCTATTTAAAGAAAACTGAAAGGGCAAACATATCATTTTCCATAGTGAAATAAACTTATTTTAGAAGAGAAGAAAAATTCAGGAACTGGCTATATAAAATCAAAGAAAAAGATCCCATTTTTTGGACCACCAGTTTAGATATTAGGACAATGGATTTTTGACAAGGAACAGAATGGATATTACTGAAGCCGAGAAGAAGATGCTTAGTAGAATATCTAACATATTGCTGAAAAAGGCTTTTAGGTTAAAGTTGAGGAAGGAAAATTATCCAGGCACACCTTAAGACTGTATATAATGGATGGAAAAAAACGGAAAAACAGTAACAGAGAAGATAAATAATAACCCAGTTTTTCACCTTAAAAGGTTACGGCACTGTTTTTAAAGAATTATAAAATATATTACTTTATACAGCACCATCTACATGAGAACAATGTAAATGTTTAAGTCACCCTTATCCACATCATCTGTTATTCTCGTTATCGGTAACAGCACGATTTGAGTGTCTTGGAAAGAAATACTTTTTGCTATGGATTGTACTACATTCTCCACCCCCAGCCAAATTCGCATGCTGAAGCCCTGACCCTCAGTCTGACTATATAAAGAGAGAGTCTTTAGGAGGTAATTAAGGTTAAGCAAGATCATAAGGATGAGGCCTTAGTGTGACAGAACTGATATCCTTATAAGAGGAGGAATACAGGGGACATCGGGGTGGCTCAGTTGAATGAGCATCCAACTCTTAATTTCAGCTCAGGTCATAATCTCAGGATTGTGAGGTTGGGCCCTGTGCTGGGTGTGGGCGTGCAGCCTGCTTAAGATTTTCTCTCCCTCTACCCTTCCCCGACCCCACTCTCTTTCTCCCTCTCCAAGATAAAAAAGAGGAAGAGAGACCAAAAACTCTCTTTCAGACATGTGAAGACACAGGGAGAAGGTGGTGTCTGCAAGTTAAGAAGAGAGCCTTTGCCAGAAACTAAAACAGCTGAACCTTGATCTGAGACGACTAGCCTCCAGAACTGTGAGAAAATAAATATTCAATGTTTAAGCCACTCCTGCTACAGTATTTTGCTATGACAGCCCAAGTTGGCAATTACACTCTTCTAAATTTTTTCCTCTATGGTATCTAAACCTTAAAGCTCTCTCTTTTGCATGATTTGTAGGGTATGTCTGCAAAATTTGAAGGATACATCGGAAACTAAAGCTGTGTGCATAAAATGGACACCTTGACACCTAACCAAGTAGGCAAAAGAAAAATAACTGGTTACGGCACTTCCCAGTCAAGGGAACAAAATGGAACAGATGGTTTTATTTGCTTGCATTTACTTTTAAACTCTTGAAATTTCATATTTTCTCAGTACAAATAGGAGCTCTCCTCAGATAAACCAGATCTGGGTATTTTCAGCTGTGGTCAGCTTCTCTCTGAATCCCACTAGGGTTTGGTGATGCAGAGTAAACAAGGCTATAAATCAAATGCAATGCATTTAATACCTCAATGCATTGCAAATTGATCTGGAATAGGGGTCAGTTCAAATCGCTTTTTAAGTGAAACTATTCCCTACCCCTGAAGGGAAGGAATGGAAGTTAAAGATAGCAAGTCTGAAAGTTATATGGGATTCAGAAGTGTGGCTGTTTGTTAGAATAGTCAGAGGCCAGGTTTCTTCAGGTGAGATTCTTCTGTTACTTATCAGATTGGAGCCATGGATATTTAAAAACACATCCTGGTGGCTGGCATTAAATCTGAAATCTGGTGGGCAACCTTTCAAGAAATAAAAGCTACGGACAAAATAGCTTTAGTTCCATTCAGCACACTGTGGGAAATGCAGCTAATGGACATGCATTACTATGACTGGCAGGGCGGGGTGCCAATAAATGGAGAGGAGCAGAGATTCAAACCACCACATAACAGCAACATTTCCTAAGCTTATTTCACTAATTTGTCAAAGCAGAACACTATCTGAACAGTGAAAGAAAAATGAGGTTGGAAAGCACAGGGGAAGTAACTATTTAAAAGTAAAAGCTATGCTTCTTTCTCTATTGGTTAGTTATCTCTGTTTTGAGTAATTATGGTTTATTTCTACCATTCCTGATACCACACTTGGTTTTACTAAAGGTAATGTTTTCTCTTTTTCATATGATAAGCAGAGAGCTTCTTCCAGTAGGATAAATTTCCACTGGTTGCTTATGTCTTCCTTGCCTTTTTCCAGTAGGAAGAAATGAAGTCTAGTAATTACAGAAGGAAAATGTGGAGTTCTGATATGCCACCCTTCAAAGAGGGATGGAGGGCAATATTCTCTACTTACTTGTCTTTTTTTTTCCCCCGGAGAAGAAACACTTCAAGTGTTATCTCCTATCTTTTCTCCATCTTCAATTTTCAATTCTCAATTGTTTCTTATAATTTTAAACAAAACTGCTAAAGAGGTCAATACTTGTACTTTCTTACTTGGAATGGAATGAAAACTATCCCATCATAAAGGAAGAATAGATTCACTTAATTGTACAATTAAAATCAGTCTAAACTTTAACAAATAATGCCTTAAACTATTTCAGATATGCTTTCTAGTATAATGATTAATGTAATAATGTAAAGGTTCTCTGTGTAATGTAACACAGCATGGACTCTGGGACTGGACTACATGGGTTCAAATCCTATTTCCACCACTTACTAGCTGTGCAGATTGGATAAATTAACTTAATCTCTCCATGCCTCTGTCCTCTCCTCTGTAAATGGAGAACACTAATAAGTACACCATAGGTTGTTGTACTTGGCAAAGAGAAAGCACTATACACATGTTAACGGCCATCAAGATTATTTCAGAGAATATCTGAAGGGCATTATATTAATCGCCCTACTCTCTGTTAGTACTATTAAACATTTACATATGAAACCAAGCGAAAGTTCTCCTGTCTTAGGTCACATAAAACAATCCTCTTGCTAATCAGATAAGGAAAAGGTAAGAAGGAAATCCTTTCTTCAAAATTAGCCTTAAATGACACAAAGATTTCACCAATAATGTAAGTATCCACTTGACTTTTAGAGGCAAGACATTCTATTTAAATCTACATGTTTCAATGAAAATAGTCCAATGAAAAACACATACAATAACAGCAGCTTATTCTAAAATATTAACATAATCTGAAACATTGCTTTATGAGCAAAATACATACTTCTGGGGTGATCTGTTATCAACTTCAGCCTTCAGTCGTAAATTCTCCCTCACCAGGCCACCGTTTTCCAATTTCAATTTTTTATTTGCCTTTAAAAAAGAGTTGAAAATAATTAAGCACAAGCTAAAACAAGTACCTTGTAAAAATTATGTCATGAGCCATCTGTATTTTTTAGAGTGATATCAGAAAATTAAATACTAGCACATGGCCTTCAGAAACTTAAAATCATCACTGGGAATGACTTGTGAAACTGTGAACACAACAAAGCATTTTTAATCCATAATCCCAAAGCACTTTGCAATTCTCCTATCCAGGGAAATAAACAGAGCTATGTTAGTTATCTTAGAGTTATTAAAGGACTATACTAATGGCAAATATTTTTTTTTCCTTTTCACATAAATGAATATTCTAAGCATGGTAACATTACACTATATGGAATCATTTGCAAAACTAATGCTAAGAGTTAATTCTCATGAACTCTGAGCTATAAGATTGATTTTGGGTTGCTACTTAAAAAAATAGTTTTTTAGTGATAACAAATCTAACATAATTAAACCAAAAGGCTTTCCCAAATGCCTCGGCCCACAACTTCTGGAGTTCTCAAAACTGGGTCAAATATTTTTTTTTTAAAGATTTTATTTATTGGGGCACCTGCGTGGCTTAATGGGTTAAAGCCTCTGCCTTGGGCTCAGCTCATGATCCCAGGGTCCTAGGATCAAGACCTGCATTAGGCTCTCTGCTCAGCAGGAAGCCTGCTTCCTCCTCTCTCTCTGCCTGCCTCTCTGCCTACTTGTGATCTCTGTCTGTCAAATAAACAAATAAAATCTTTAAAAAAAGAAAAAAGATTTTATTTATTTATTTTGACAGAGAGAGAGAGATCACAAGTAGGCAGAGAAGCAGGAGGGGTGTGGGGACAGGAAGCAGGCCCCTTGCTAAGCAAAGAGCCTGATATGAAACTCGACCCCAGGACCCTGAGATTATGACCTTAGCTGAAAGCAGAGGCTTAACCGACTGAGCCACCCAGGAGTCCCGGGTCAAAACTTTCTAATAAATTCTAAGAATTCTCTTTTGATTAAAAAAAAAAATTCCAACTATGACTTTCTTTTTGAATTGTCTGATACCTAAAAATTGTCTAACAAAACATTAATTGCTAGAAAATTTAGAAGTTAAATATTGATTCTATACAAAAAGCAGTGTGCCTCAATTTTAGAGTCTTCTTAAAAGCTATTTAAATTCCTCAGTCATGGCATTTTTTAATTCCAAAGAATAACATTCCCTAGCCTAGAAACCAATCTCACTAACTTGGCAAGAGAATTGTCTTTTGTTTGGCTAGAACATTGACATCTAAAACATTTTAAAGTGAATGGGTCACAAAAACTACTGTCAACAAAAAGGCTTAACCCAAAATACTTAAAAACAGATTTCAAAATTCTGACAAATGTTTTTGACTAATTTCCAGAACTTATGACTATATTGCTCATCCACCCTCACACATATATCCCAGGAGGATGACAAGAGAGGAAGGGCAAGAACATTCTTCTGGGCACAAAGGCTAGCTAGCTCTTGCACTTACATTCATGTAGGTTCTTTCTGGGCTCTTGAGCAGCTGCTTATCCTCGTGGTTGCAAACCAACCAGTACTGTGGAGGGTTAATTCTTTAAGTGACTGATAAACACTATTACTGCCCCTCTGAAGATGCAAGGAAAATCATTTACAATGAATTAAGCTTTCAAACATAGCACCATAAGAGGAGGCACTTAGTGAATGTTTTTTGATGATGATGATAAGCTTAAATTAGAAACTCATTTGATTTCTTTTCCCCATCCCTTCCATACTGTATCACCACATTTCAAGATCTTTCACCAGTACTGTGGCTCTCTAATATCCTCATTAGGAGCTGGCTGGTTTCTCAATGGTATCAGAGTTCTTTTCTTTTCTTTTTTCCCCCCCAACCATCAAAGGCATTTTCAGTTTAGGTGGGTCAAGATTACAAAGGGCAAAGTTCTGCCCATTTGTTGCACCTAAAAGAGTAATGAAGACTTCAGAGAACTATTTTGCATTGCAACACTGATTGGGCAAGGATACTGGCCTCATAATGGTTTCAAAACCTACCTAGGCCTTGAAACATCAGAAAACAACTCCATTTCACTCATGCTCTGTAGTCTGAATCTCTCGTACTCCTGTATTTGTTATTTTGTACTTCACACTCAAATTTTGCTTCGTTTGTGTCCTAGTTTATTGCCTAGTACTACGTAATACCACCACCAGGCATCCAAAATGGGCTTATTAAATATCCCAAATAATTCTGAGGTAGCTTTGGGTATTGAATTTAACATGTAACCTTTAAAAGAGCAAAGAAAAACTGTGTTTTATGTACTTCTCTTTCACATAAAAACCCCTACACCACTTTTACAAGCCCAGAATAATATCTTCATACAGATCCTCATCTTCAAAGAAGCATTTTATTGCCAAAAATTTAAATGAAGTTTAATAACTATAAAGGAAACCACACAGAACTTAATAATACAAGAATACAAAGGGAAGTTAAAGGGACATTGTAGATTAATGGTATTGTAACTTTCCAGCTATCTTTCCTTTTTATATGCTCTTCTGGACAAACCAACAGGCTAATGTTGGCCTTCAATACCCAAAGAAACTCCACACTTCCCCTAAACTTGTAACAAATTTAGTGCAATTACATCTGTAGTTTCTTTTTTCTCTGAAAGCACGAAGTTCCCTTCTTTCATTTCGGCCTTTTCTGAGCTCAAACAACATTTATTTTAGAGGTAGGTATGTGAAGATGGCTTGGTATTTACACTAAATTGCAGACTTCTATGCTACTTAGCTTCACTGAGGATCTAAGGGTCAGTATGTGGTGGTACTTCTTTAAAGAGCTCATTAATGATTTCAAGGAGACTGGATTTAATAATTCCACACAATAACAATAGTTTACGGGAATGCAGACAGGTTAAACGGGTGGTTGTGGACATGGATACCACAAAACCATCTCCATTCAGCACAGGACTCCACTGTGGATAAACTTGAAATGAAAGCCAAAGGCTGGTCCCTTTGGCCAACAAAACCCTCCAGCACTTGGTTGTAACAACCTTTCATACTGATGACAGGGATCTCTCTTCTTTTCCTAGACTGAAAATCCTAGAGGTTGCCTTTCCACCTATGCTTTATCTTGTTGGAGGAAAGGAAGAATAAATGAAGAAAATGAACCTACTCCATAAGCTACAATACTTTTTTACATCGAGTATTCTAAAGCAACTACTCAAAGCTTCCTTGGAATTAGTCATTAAGTCTTTAACTACTTACAATCTTAAAAATCAGATAAGGGTAGTATCAGAAAAGATATGTTCTAAACATTCCATTTTATAGGTAGGGAATTGGATACATGTTCATTTTCATTCATATAGGGCAGTCACTGACACAAGCTTAAGAAAAAAAGTAAGGCAAAACACAAAGAGGGGTATAGAAACACATCCTTTAAACTGATGTCACTCTTGTACAAGAAGACGCAAACTCATACAGAAGCACGAGTCTCCAATTATGGTCACAAATGGAACGACCTGATAGTTCTTGGCAGCTAACAACATTCAAGAAGGAAAAAGTTCTACTGTTTAAATGCTCATCCAGAGATTTTTGTCTTTCCCCCAAAATCTTCTAATGAGTGAAGTTAATATGGCTCTTTTTACTTTTGAAGGCACTTGAATTACAGAATTTTAAAAAACAACTACAGTAGAATTTTAAAAACCACCACTACTTACTTCCTTTAACTTATCCACATCATCTTTTACTTTTTCATAGATTTCATTAGCTGTTCTAAGTTTTTTCTTCCACTCTGCTACAGTTTCTGGGTCAATTTTACTTGGATTTTCTGCAACTGGATGCTTGTCTTCATTTTGGTTGCCTTGCATCAAGGTTAAAGGATCCAGAATAGTCTTAATTTGTGACTCCAAGCTGAGATTTTTACTCTTAAGATCTTCTACTTCCTTCTGCAGACAATCTATTTCATCCTGAAAAAGAATCACATGACCATTAAATAGACACAGATACTAAACACATATGTATGTTAAATTGAGGTCAATGTTTTTAAAATTTTATACTCAAAATTCTGTAGGTACACAGATGCATCAGAATAGTTTTATAAGCAAAAAGTCACATAGAGCTGAAATTCTCAAAACGTATTTGACTCTGATAAAAGCGGGCATTTCCACTGCCTTCATTTTAATTCAGTAATAGTTTGGTTAAAAAAATAAAAATGTCGGGGTGCCTGGGTGGCTGCGTTGGCTGAATGTCTGACTCTTGATCTTAGCTCAGCTCTTGATCTCAAGGTCATGAGTTCAAATCCCGTACTGGGCTCCACTTACTTAAAAAAATAAATAAAATAAAATAAAAATTAAAATGTCAAATCTTGAATTTTATTGAAGATAGCCAGAAAACAAGACAAGTCACATGAATTCAACAAGGAAGTAGACTCCGCAGAAGAAAATTCTTAGGCATTTTTAACTGCTTTAGTGAGGGGAATTAAAAAAAGACAGTGTTGGGGCGCCTGGGTGGCTCAGTGGGTTAAGCCGCTGCCTTAAGCTCAGGTCGTGATCTTGGGGTCCTGGGATCCAGCCCCACATCGGGCTCTCTGCTCGGCAGGGAGCCTGCTTCCCCCCCACCTCTGCCTGCCTCTCTGCCTACTTGTGATCTCTCTCTCTCTCTCTCAAATAAATAAATAAATAAATAAATTCTAAAAAAAAAAAAGTGTTGATCAGGGTCATAATAGTTTTATTTGATGTTTATATTTTTGCTTCTGCATTTGAAGTAGGAGTGTAACCCTATACCATGTCCTTCTACTTTCCACTCAGAATACGTGTAGTTAATTTTTAGTTTTACTTTTAACTCTTCTACATTCTGGTTCTTCTATTACCACTGTGACTATTTTAAGTAATAGTTTTCCCCATCTGGAACTGCTTACTGTCTTAAATCTAATTCCTAAACATTTGGTCTAGAATTCTTTTATGTGATACCATTTACTAATCTATAATAGATATTTCATCTTAAACTAAGATCATTAGAAATTCTGTTGTTAGAAAATAAACTCCAAGTAGTTCAATAGCCAGTGAACTCTTTAAAGGATTAATCTGATTAATACCTAAGTATGATAAATATTAAGTATGTAAGAATACATTTTAGAGTTAACAGACAGTACTATTTACTATTTTAAATTGCAGTACACATCAAGTTAAATAGCGTTATAAATAAGAAAGTAAGTTTTTTGTTGGAATTAATATATTAATGAATAAACAAATATGAACAGGAAAACATAAACGAACATTTATGCAGTCATTTATTTAATCCCCACTTTATTTCAAAATATTTTTGAGGCAACTGAAAGCAGTTTCCATGCATATACTTTAACTTAAAAATATTCTGTATTAAAATAAGAAATTAATAATATCCCCTCTGGAGTCAACATAAAATAACAACTGGGCTTAAAAACCGCGCATATTCCAGGGGTACCTGGGTGGCTCAGTCGGTAAAGCATCTGCCTTCAGCTTGGGTCATGACCCCAGGATCCTGGTATTGAGCCCTGCATTGGGCTCACTTCTCCCTCTCTTGCTCCCCCTGCTTATGAGCACTCTCTCTCTCTGTGTCAAATAAATAAGTAAAATCTTTAAACAAACAACAAATAAACATATTCCATTAGCATGAAGCTAATTTGGAAAATTTCCATCACCATATCAAATTGGCTTCACAAGAAAGAAAACTGCTGCACAATGTCACTAAAATGTGGTATTTAAAAAAACTAGATACATACAAGCAGAGTTAAACAGTAGTTACCCAGGGTGGGAAGGTAGAGGAAATGGGGAGGTAGGAGAAAGGAGATGGGTTAATATGTACAATGTTGTAGTTATATAAGATAAGTAAGTCTAGATATCTCACATACAGCATGATGACTACAGTTAATACTGTACTGAATACTGGAATTTGCTAGCAAAGTAGATTTCAGGTGCTCTCACCACAAAAATATAAGTAGGTGAGGAGACGGCTATGTTAGTTAGCTTGACTGACACAATCCTTCACTATGGCTATGTGTATCAAAACATCATGTTGTGGCACATAAATATATGCAATTTCTTAATTTTTTAAAAAGATTTTATTATTCGGGATAGAGAGAGAGAGAGAAAGAGCTCAAGTACAAGCTGGGGGGAGAGGCAGAGGGAGAAGGATAAGCAGACTCAATTAGCGGGGAGCCCTGCATGGGGCTCCATCCCAAGACTCTGAGCCTATGAAGTTATACACTTAGCCGAATGAGCCCCCCAGGTGCCCCAAATACACAAGATTTTTATTTAAAAAAACAAAAACAAAAACAAATCTCACTGATTAACATTAAAAAAAGGAAAATAGCATATTTCACACCAAAGTCTCTTCGCTGGTAGCTGACATAGGTATATTTATTTTACGAAAACTAATCAGGCATAGAATTATCAGGGAATTTATAGAGAAGCAAAATGGAATGAAAGGTACAGTCACTGTTTACCTACCAGAGCACTCATCATGTCCTGTGGGGGCTAGAAGACTGACTTTCACAAGAGGGTTTCTTTTCTCTCCCAACTTGAGGGAGCAAATAAAATGATGTGTCTGTTTAGGACAAATTTGGAATTAAAAAAGGGAAAAGAATGCTTGTATTTGTTCCTGTCTTCTATTTGAAATAGAAAAGGGAAAAAGAAAAAAAAAAAATGGTCAACTAAGATATTAAGTAGGCTCCACAGCCAACACAGGGCTTGAACCCACGACCCTGAGGATCAAGCATCACATGCTGCCAGTCAGGCGGCCCTCAAACAAGATATTTTTAAAATGGCATCTGAAGTAAGATTTCATTGGATGTTTACTCTAAAAAGTCCAGGGATTCAGATAGCTCAGTTTTAGCTTGAATTCAAAGCTGTCCTAATTTTAAATTATAATTACTATTTACCTCATACTCTTTGTGGAGTAACTCAAGTCTAGTTTTCCGAAGGTGCTTCCTGACTGTATGGCTTAGCATAGGTTCACTTTCACTTGTTCCTCCTACAAGGGGAAAAAAAAAATCGTACTTTCATTCTGATTTAGGCAGTATGAAAACAAAGATAAATGGTTTTCTTATTGTATTATATAGTTCTCCAGCTAAATTTCTACCCTTTCCCTTACATACACACTTGGGGCTGCCACCTAGAGATTTTTTCTAGCTCAATCTTGAGAAAAGATAAATATCAAATAACACCATAATACCTTCAGTAAAATATCACAGGTGTTCACTTACCTGTGTATCTTATTATAATAAATTCAATGAAGGCAAAGGCTATATTTTGTTAATTATCAAATATGGACTACTGCAAAATCTGAATACCAGACAACTGTTAAATGATTATAAAACTAATGATTATATTTATATTTAAACAATTAACATATTATCTACATTATCTATATTTAAATTTCACATAATTATCCAATGCTTATATATATATACATATATATATATATACACACACACACACACACACACACACGCATGAGTTCATATTATGATATATATATTATTATAACCAATGTATTCAAACGTACCTAGATACTGGTAACACAAATGAAAAGATTAATGCATCTTTTTACTGAATCTAACAACCCAGTTATGATAGATTATGAATCACAGCATTAACTGTATGCCCGTAATATAATACAAATATACTTAAAATGAATTCTTCCTGAGAGCTCTTCACCTATGCTGTGGTTATTTTCTTTGTACTTCTTAGTATCATGACAGCAAAGGCATTTTACAGATGTTCTTTTTCAGGATGTTCTATCCAAGTACAAGGATGAATGAGCTATTTTACTTGAATTAATTTATGAAATATCACTTAGATATCAAGGCAGGAGAAGCGACGTGAGAAGAAGCTAGGGAAAACACATTCAAATTATTTTAATCATCAGAGTTCACAACAGAAAAATATTTCTTTACCGTATTTCACCCAGGTACCAAGAAAGAAACCTTATAATAATCTCTGATTCCTTCTTTGGATTTCTTAGTTTCAAAGTCCTACTAGTTCTTCTTTTGTTCTAGTATATATCTTCCTTTCCATTCCCACTATAAGAATCTTACTAAGTCCATTTTCCCTAAATTGGGATTATTACAATCACTTCCTAGGTTTTCTGAAAAGTGTTTTCTGTACAAATGACAGATTCACTTTCAATTTTTCCTAAAGCAGAAACAAGTAAAAATCATTTTAATTTCTGTAATCTAAGAATTATGACTTACAAAATAAAATCCAAAATAAAATCCAAACACTACAAAAGCTCTTTAAATACTTAATTTTTCAATGATCTTCTAGTTCAAGTTTTATCTCCCTTTTACCCACACTGGTATGGCACTCAGTATTATTTTTTATCCTTAAACCAGATTCATGTTCTCCCTTAACTGGGTTTGAGCATCTTACCTGACATACTCACATTCTGTCTCTTCCCTTCAACCCAACTCACATATCATCACCCAAGTAATATTCCTCAAGCACATTTTGGATTTTGCCACTCCCTTGTTCAAAACCATCAGCTCACTTTACTCTTCTATTCACCCACAAAGCAAGTCCCTGAATAAATTTATTACTCAAGATTCTCCGCACTAGAGTCTCACTTTACTTTTTCAGTCTTATTTCAGTAGTCAGACCCAAACTAAACTACTGTCATTTCTAAAAACATGCTTTGTGTTTTCCAACTTCTAATCCTTAGTTCATGCAATTTCCTCTGTATGAAATGACCTCCCTAATCTTTACCAGTTGAAATTTTATCCACTCTTAAATCTTGTGAAGCCACCTGCTTTATGAAGCCTTTCCTGATATTCCCAGCTGAATTTCCTTGCCTGAATTCTATAGGCCTCTTTTGACCTTTAGCATCTGCTGCTTTAAACCATTAATATTTTAGTCCACATGCATAGCCTCTACCATAATGTTAATTCCACAAGGCTCTAAGATTTTTCATAGTGGCTTGTGCCCCTCATGTGTTCACTTACAGATTATGCAAATGACCAGTCCATCCAGGATGACAGAGGCAAAATGATGTCAGTGAAAATTGTCTATTTTAGTCTTTCTCCAAATATACACTATTTAGAGATTGTTTCAAATCTGTTTTTGTGTGTTTATAAAATAGGCCCTTACCAATAATCTCTTTGCAAGGATTTTCAGGCGTGATGGGGACTCTGCAAGCTGGACACTGGCTATTATTCTTCAACCACAAATCGATACAAATTGAACAAAATACATGGTTGTTGATGCATATGACAGGCTGGCGTACCTTTGAAAAAAGAAACATTACTTTTAGTACAGGGCAACAGTCATAACTAGAATCCCAATAGGTTTAGTTTAGAGCAAACTCTAGTTTGCTCTAGTTTCTCTAGAGTATAGCAGAGTAGGTGCTTTAAAAGGAAATTACTCAGGATTTATAAAAACACTGGTTTATAACTTAAACAACAAACAATGCTGACAGAAATAATGACATATACTAAATATAAAAATCGTTGACTCCATTTATATAACCACAAATACTAATACATTTATATAGTCTTATATTTTACAAAGGGCTTTCACATGTATTTTCTCCATGTTTTTGTTTGTTTTAAAGAGTCCTGTGAGGTAAACACAGTAAATACACCTCACAAATAAGGAAACCAAACTGTGAAGAAACCAGATGGTTCAGTCAGGAGTAACTAGGTGTTTTGACTGTGTCTAGTTGTTTTATAAGACAAAATAGAAGAAAGAAGTTACTTTAGTTGTCTACCTGATATTGTCTGTTTACACATTTAATGTCTCTCTCCTATTAGAAAGGAAGCTGCATGAGAACAAGAACTTCCTTCATTTCATTCATTCCTAAATCTCTGATGCCTAGAAGACAGCCTAGTACACAGTAGGTACTCAATAAAAACTCATCGGATTAAGTAAATGCTATTAAGACAGTATTTAACATTAATTAGTTAGGGAACTGCCGGAGGTAATAATAACTTAATGTTCTTCAAGTAGCAAAAATTTTAAAATAAAAACCGAAATGACGTGGAAATGTTTAGGCTTTCACTTGATTCACAAGGTAATGTTACTGTGGGACTCAAAATACCTTTAGCATTTTCAATATTTTCCTGTTCTAATAATAAAAATACCATTTTACAGTCCTTCTACACTAGAGATCAGAAGATTAAGAGGAAACAGAGAAAGTACTGGGAGAAAAGAAAGAACGACCACAAACTACTTTTTTTTAAATTATGTTCACTTAGCCACCATATAATACATCATTAGTTTTGTTTTGTTTTGTTTTTTTTAATTTATTTGACAGACAGAGATCACAAGTAGGCAGAGAGGCAGGCAGAGAGAGAGGGGAGGAAGCAGGCTCCCTGCTGAGCAGAGAGCCCAATGCGGGGCTCGATCCCAGGACCCTGGGATCATGATCTGAGCCGAAGGCAGAGGCTTTAACCCACTGAGCCACCCAGGCGCCCCATACATCATTAGTTTTTGATGTAGTGTTCAATAATTCATTAGTTGCATATAACACCCAGAGCTCATCACAAAATGTGCCCTCCTTAATACCCATCACCTGGCCACCCCATCCCCCAATCCCTTTCCTCTGAAACTGTAAATTTGTTTCCTGGAGTCCAGAGTTTCTCATGGTTTGTCTCCCTCACTGATATCAACCCCTTCAATTTTCCCTCTCTTCCCCTATTGTCCTCCGTGTTATTCCTTATGTTCCACATATGATTGAAACTATGTAAGTTATCTTTCTCTGCTTGACATTTGACTTAGCATAATCCCCTCAGTTCCATCCATGTGAATGAGAATGGTGGGTACTCATCCTTTCTGATGACTGAGTAATATTCTATTGTATATATGGACCACATTTTCTTTATCCATTTATCTGCTGAAGGGCATCTCGGCTCCATCCACCGTTTGGCTATTGTGGACACCGCTGCTATGAACACTGGGGTGCAAGTGCCCTTCTTTTCACTTATGTCTGTATCTTTGAGGTAGATACCTAGGAGTGCAATTGCTGGGTCACAAAGCACTTTCTACAGAGAAAACGCTTGTGCTGCTCTATGTCTGCCTCAGAAAGATAATGAGTATTCATTAATTTGAAAGGGGGCTCTACTTTCAAAGAAATCACAGATGTATGGCGATCCATGAAAGGCAGGAAATCATTTTAAGTCTCACTGTAAAGAACGCCATGGTCTTAGCCTGGCTTTCCAAACACTAAGATGCTCCCTTGATTATGAACATTAACATAAGAAAACTAAACAGAAAAGATGATTCAGCATGAAATTAGAATTCCTTATGGAGAAACCAATTCTAATTCGTTCAGTTCAACTAATCTGAATGAATGAATGAATAAATGAATAAGACCATGAAGGACAGCTTCCCATACTCTTCTTCCAAAGTGCTCCTACCTACAGCAAGGACTGAATGCTTATCTAGAAGGTATTCTTGGTCAGAGTCTCAAGAGGCAGACAAGTCCAAATTTCCTTTACAGGTTCTGTTTTTTTCCTAAAAACTCATGTAATTTGTCCAAGCTCACCATTATATATTTGTGGGTGTTTTCATTTCATCTTCAGTCATGAAATGCCTTTTTTTTTTTAAAAGAATTTATTTATTTATTTGACGGACAGAGATCACAAGCAGGCAGAGAGGCAGGCAGAGAGAGAGGAGGAAGCAGGCCCCCTGCTGAGCAGAGAGCCTGACGAGGGGCTTGATCCCAGGACCCTGGGATTATGACCTGAGCCAAGGGCAGAGGCTTTAACCCACTGAGCCACCAAAGCGCCCCAAGTCATGAAATGTTTTAACAAAAAAAAAATTTCTCAAACTAAGTACCAGAAAGATACTGCCAAATCTATCCTATAGCTTCCTGCAACACACACACACACACACACACACACACACACACACACACACCCTAAATTACTATAATACTCCTAGAAGTATGTGTACCCCTAAATCAAAAAATTCAACTAAAGAAAGAAAAGTTATTTCCCTGGACTTTTAGAGCAGTGATTTAATCAATCAATTAATTTATTTATTTTTAAAGTCATGAACTGATCTAAAATAGGTGAAAGCCAATGGTCAAAACATAAAACTGCACATTTGGAAAGATTCAAGATGCTCTCCTGCTTCTTACAGGCTTCCCTCATTAGAAGCACATTTAAAGGCAATCAGTATTTTCTATGTAACTGCTTCCACAACAAAGGTTAAATATCTCCCCAATCTAAGAAATGGGTTTGGATAACTCAGTGGTTGGTGCTATCATTAAATAAGGTGAGGAAGAGAAGGTCTGAGAATCACCAGCATAAAAAACGATGGCATTTAAATTGATAGGACTAGAGGACAGCCCTCCATGGGCAGAGTAGCTGTGGACAAGGCATTCTATCAAGCAGAAGAAGGAAAAAGAGGAACAGCCAGCAAAGTGAACTAAGAAGGAGGGGACTGTGCTAGAGGACAGGAGCATGGTCTTACAGAAGGCAAGAAAAGAGACTTCCAAGAGGAAGACAGTGGCCAAGCATGTCAAATAATAGGAGAATGAGCTTGGGTGGCTCAGGCAACTAAGTGTCAGACTCCTGATTTCAGCTCAAGTCATGATCTCAGGGTTATGAGATCAAGCCCCATGTCAGGCTCCTCACTGGGCATGGAGCCTGGGAAAGAAAAGGAAAGGAAAGGGAAAGGAGGGGACGGGAGGGGAGGGGAAAGGAAAGGAGGGGAGGAAAGAAAGAAAAAATGAGCTTGATATGGACCAGAAATGACTATGGGATTTAATTATATGGAAGTCACTGTGATCTTACTGACAAGCACTGTTTCAGTAAATGGTAAGAATGGAAACTTGACTGAAGGCTGAGAGACAGTGACAACAGAGAATATAGACAATTCTTCATGTTTTGCTGTGAAGTAGTGAGCGTAAGAATTAAGACCATGGTAAGAGATACCAATGAGAATGATACAGTTAAGAGAGGATATTAATGATGGAGGAAGAAGAGGAGGGATTAGAACCATAGGCAGCAAAGTCCCTAAAAAGTCAAGAGGGAATAAAATCCAATGCACAAAGCAGAGGTTTTGGCTGTTAAGGGACTGAGGATCTGTCTTTCATTGTAACAAAAGGGAAGGCCAAGGGTGTCAGAACAAATGTAGAGGGGTTAGAAGATCTGTTGATGGAAAAATGAGAGAATTCATGTTCTAACTATTCCAACTGCTTATTTTTTAATCATTAAATATGAGGAGAGGTTACCAGCTGAAAGTGAGAAGTGAGTATCAATATCAACTTGAGAAAATAGAATAAAGCAGCTATTTTGAAAAGCAAGAAAGTAAATTTACTAGTAATTTATAATATAGCAGGATTGCCACGCACTGTTGAGTTCCTATTTGAGATCTGCGATTTTTACTATAAACAAAAAGCAATTAACAAGGTGTGTATTTTTCTTACCAATTTTTACCTATTCAGTTTCAGGCAGGAAGCAAATAAGTAGATGGGTTTACTCAGAGCTGGATTTTTGCCAAGGAGAAAGAGAGAGAAAAGGGACTGATGATAATAAATGACCATGGCTAACAAGGGACATGAGTATATGAATGGTAATGATGACAATGAAAAAGTGATATTCATGGAGTCAATGAACTGGTCTTGATAAGGCTGAAGTAATGCTGGAGAGTAGGTATGATGAAAAGAGGATCAGAGTAAGATGCTTAGAGTCAAAATACCGGAGGTGGTACAGCTGCTTTCTTTAATGTTTTTTTCCTGGGCCATCTCATCTGGCATAGTTCTATTTCCTCTCTTAATCTCATGTATCACATGATGTTAACATCTTTTCTATGACAACTCCTGAGAACCCTCTGTAACTGGACCTCAGTAAGTGGCAGAGCTTAGGCTTTGAGAGACAAACCTGGGGCTAACTCCACCTCTGCCACTTGAGCTGTTCGACCTTGAGTAAGCCTTTTAGTTACAATGAGCATAGGTTTGTCTCTGAAGATAGTGGCTTAGTAGACTTTTCATCCAGGCATTAAGATTTAATAACGTAAAGATAAAAACACAGAGGGTTCCAGATAGCAATCCCTCAAAAAAAAAAAAAGAGAGAGAAGGAAAAGAGAAGGTATCAATATTACTGTATCTGTGCCTCGGAGCCAACTCCATATGAGGCTCTTGTAGCTGTCTCAATCATAATATGTCCAAACCTGAACTTTGCCTCCTCCACTCCTTATCCAAGTTAATAGCACCACCTCCTCATTACTTTACCTAAAATACTCAGCGCTCTCTCTGACTGGCCCTTTTTACTTAGCCTC